TCAAATTAGAGCACAAAGTTTCTGTCAATTTTAGGGTAAAAAGATGAGTATTATTTTCAGCTGTATAAATACCACTTTCAGTGATTATGCCTTGACAATAACAGGGGGTGGTATTATGAAAAGCCATATCTTTATTTGACGTTGTTAAACGCCAATGTCACCGTCATGGTTGGTTGGAAACCTTACAAGTTAATTCTCTGACAGCAAAAAAAAAAAATCTTGAAAAAGTCATACCATGATTGCAAGAAATTTATACTGACTGCAAAAAACAATGTCTATAACTCTAATGCATCGCATGGCTCTACAAAATGTGATCAAAAAATTATTATCTTCAACAAACAATATACAATCAATCTTCAATATGCACGTGTTTTTAACTTTTTATCGATTCCCCCACTTGACGCCATACATTTCATGGTTGAGTACTGTTGACCAGCGATTTTAGTGCAAAGTACCCAGAATACGTATCTGACCAATTTTTATACTTTTCTGCCACATAGTCAAAAATTTTTCGCATTTTATATTCTTTTGCGTCTCTTTTTCCTCTCAGTATACATGGATTCATACTCAGATTTACGTTTGTTTACATCCTGAATCCTAGGGGGTACAGCAGTCGCCTTAGGGTAGGCTGAAACACAATATATTCTCTTCATTTTATAGAGGAATATATTGGGGAAAATTCACTGATAAAAACAGAGTCATTGTTATTTAGGGGGGGTTGGGGGGTTGGGGTGGGGGTTGCGGCTCATGGGCCTCATGGTTTATATTCAAATATGGCAATTTACTATGGTTGTTCAATAAATAATATCTGGACTCTATGACAGACAGCATAAAAATCATATAATTTAAATACTGACTTTCTCTCATTACTGGATCTTTATCTTTTAATGTTTACAGTTTATGTGAGCACTTTTTATCACATAGTTTCATTCCGAGAAAAAAAGGGCTATTCAAGAAACTGCATTAAAGATGAATGATAAAGAATCAGTAAACTAGAGTGAAATTAAACACATCATTAAAGCTGCGGGAAAACTCGTTATTCACAAAGAAATATTCACTGAAATATGCGAGATTTACAGCAACCTATGTTTGTTTTATAGACACAAAAGCGGTCGGATTTTAATGAACAAAAATGATAAAACTGGGATTAAAAATTTGTACCGTCCTTGGCAACAAAGACTTACAACAACCAAGGTAAGTTGTTCGCCAAAATTCCAAACTATCATTGACGATGTTTGAATGACTTTAAGATACATAATAAAAATGATAGGCATCATTTTGGGGTTTTTTACAGTATATAAAAAGAAATAATTAACAGTAAAAAAGCTTTGTAATCAGTGGTCACACTATGTTTTGGAAAATGAGTTAAAACTACAGCGTTTAAGTATATCTAAACAATTATTTCAAAAATTAAAAAAACAATTGTTTTTACATTATCGACGTTGGTCTGAAATTCAAACACAATTTGAAACTCGAATCCATTGCTTTAAACCCTTGAAACACATTTACGATAGGATGCACTAGACAAAAATAGCAAAAGTCTAAGAAGATCAAGGTTTTGTAATGCACAAAAACAGTTTTATATGCCATTTTCTTAAATATTAATGGTCTTGTTCAAATTCTTATTCAGGGATGCAGTTCAATTTCTGGAGGTCTTAAAAGCACCTACTTGCAAAAAAAAAATTGAAAGGCTTATGAGAGGATAGAACCACAATAAGAAATTCACTACTTTAACACCATGAAGAGTAAAGACGTTTTGGTAATAAACAGAGAATGTTTTGTCACAACATCAATATTTGCCAGAACGTTTTCCCTTTGAAGTGTTTCATTTTCCAAACTTTAAAAAAAAAAGAAACAGCTTTAAGAAAAAAGAAACAATTTCTGGAAATCATAGGGTGTGCCATATAAGTATCTGTATACGAATAATAATAAAAATGTGTTCTAAAAACAATCAGAAATTGGTTAAAACATGTGTTTTAACTAAATGAGAATATTTTAATAAAATCTTCAAGACTATATCATTGAAAAGCCTTTGTTTTTTTTTTCAAGCACCGAGTATACATTATTTATAAAACAGCTCTCGTAAGTTCAAGATTCGGCAAGTCGTGAAAGTTTCTTATTATGTGTGAAGACAGATATTATCTAAATAACGAGGTTTTTTTCTATCCTGTAGATACAGAAACAAAAATTTAATGAAATACTTTAAATATATTTCATCTCAAAGGGTTCATTATATTTCATTATTTAATGAATGACTCTAATTCTTTGCCATATTATCGAGTATAATCTGGTTTGAAACGTTTTTTATAATCCGCTTCGCGGATTATAAAGCGTACTGACCCAAACCAGATTATACTCGATTTAAAGTCATTCCTCATAATTTAATTTTAACATAATTAAACAACTTTTGATGTAAAATTGTGTTGCTTTTTATAAGTTTAAATTTACCGCGCAATAATACAACCGTAGTAACAGAAGTGTTTCGAAGCGAGGGGAGGTAATAACTGATACATAGATCTAGCAGCCATGATGTTTGTTTACATGAGTTAAGAACGAGTAATTGTTTATAGTTGAAGGTACATTTATTAAATCTGGAATTTTCCATGGATTCCGAGGACTGGAAGTGAGGGGATTGCATGGATATGATGATTAAGCTGGTCGTCAAGGGGGTGTGTCCCCATACCAAACCAGATTATACAAAATGTTATGCCTTCCTTTTTGGAAATCAACCAATGACAGGCGAGAATACAAATAAAATTAAATTATATATCTAAGGAAGTTTTGCATTTACCCACTTTAAAAAGAAAAAAAAAACATGAGTGCCCGGTCGAAAGAGAATTAAGTTTATTCCATTATGACTCTTTTTTTCAGAGTTCAGTATTGGCTTGCTCATATATTGTATTGTTTTACTGGATTTTAACTATTATTGCAATATTTTCTGCACATTTTTATCCCACTTCTATACTTAGTATTAGTCATAAATTAAAGGTGAAATAATATTGATTTTTCTCAAAATACATCGTCAACAGTAAACCAACTTTACTTTCTTTTAAATACTTGTTTATCAATGATCTGTACTTATTTTGATACGCCTTATCGAATGCCCGCCATACACATATAAAAGGAAGTATTTAATCAAAATGGGTAGAACAGGGCACATTTCACGGTCTTTTATTACCTGTGTTTTTTCATGTTCTCTTTTAATTTCTTTGTTGAATTTGGATAAGTACACTATTTGAAGTTTGCATTCAATTATAATATTATACTTGGTTTGTCATATCTTATGAAGTTTCTAATTTAGGTGAAAAATTCAATGTTATGACGCTCCATTTCTGCCAACCCCAGACATTTTAGGGTCATAAACCCTCTGCTCACTCATATGAAATTTTTCTTTAAATTTCATGATTTTCCAAAGAAATGTATATTCTGAATTAACTTCCAACGATTTAAGCATGGCTTGCGGGGCAAAATTTGACAAAAAGGCACTTTAACTTTACAAATTTATAAAGGAATAATAGACATTTGTGTCATTAAGAGTTATCTCTCTTATCAGAGTATCAATGTACCTTAATTTATTCGTTTACTGAAGTACACGTTATGGTTATGCCTTTGTATTTTTCATAATATTTTTAAATTCAAGTTGAGGAATGACAGAATTTAACAGTTTAAAGCTAAATCGGAAGATAAGTCGAAGATCATAATTCATGTTTTATTTTAATAAAATTTATGTTTATTTGTTCTTTTTATTCATTTTACGTCTGTTGAAGAATTTTTCACTCATATTCAGACACTGCCACTTGGTGGTGGATTGTGAAAAATTAGACATGTACTCAGCATTAACAGCATTTGGACTGTGCGACTTAAGAGTAAATGTCTTCTCCACTGTGCCAAGCAGATAAACGATATGTATTTATTTATTTTGTATTTAAAGATTCTTTTTTGTTGGAATGCATTGCTAGTTTTTCACACTTCATAGACTTAAAACATCAGAAAGGTTTGTGCAATCTTACAAGGAAATTCTGTGTAATTTTCTTGAAAACGCTTGTATTTCTTTAACCAAATTTAAATAAAACTAAAAATGGGCTTGAATTCAGAACAAACCAGAGTATTTTGTTTTGAATTCAAAGTATATTTTAATCATGTTAATTATATGATGACATATATGTTGCTGATCTTAACGGCGAAAAAAACGTTTTCAGAAACTTATTTCTTGAATTATTAAAACATTTTGCGACTACTTCAATTGAAAAATTTTTGTTGTACTTTTAAAAAGTAAAATTTATCCTTTATTCATATATAGGAAAAGATATACTTGATTTGTGTTTTAATGAAACATTTTTAATTGATATTCAAAAGAGTTAATGCACAAAAAACTAGACCAACTCACTAGTATACGATCATTTCTATTTTAATTAAATTTCAATCAAGTAAATAATTATTTTGAATTGTAATGCACTAGAAAATTCGAAAAATTCAAACAATAACCATTAGGTCAGCTACACATAAAGAACATCGAAGACCTCGAAGTAAAAAATTCCTGCAAAGCAAAAATAAACATTTACATGCTTTTAAAGGCCAGCTCTTTAAGAAAAATAAAATTTAAAAATATGCTTTTTGGTAACTAAATGTTTAACTCTAAAATTACGAGAAATCCCCACAATAATAATGACGATGAAGAGATGAAATTGTAAAAAAAAAAAAAAAAAAAAAAAAAAAAAAAAAAAAAAAAAAAAAAAATAAAAAAAAACTTTTAGGGCCGGAGGTTAAAATGTTGGGTAGATCTGGTGACAGGAAACAAGAGCGTGTTTTTTCTGCCTATACATAACTTATAATACCCATACTGTCATAAAATGATAATTATTGTAACGTCTGTACCAATTAGTATAGTTTTTTTCGTACAGTCTAGAATTACAGTTTAATTTATTTGAAATGCTTTTTGAGAGAGAAAGATTCTTAGATGATGATTGCGTCTTTGGATTAAATTCATGTTTTCTTTCAGCATCATCGCAAAACATGCAGATCATGGCTCTTCCACAGATGGTAGATATAGAAGAGGATACACTGACTATAGTCTGCTCCTTAAGCAATCCACCACAGGTCAAGGCGTTGTTTGTTTTAGAATTACAGAGGAACACGTCCGTCTCTTTTGAGAAAATTGTTTCTATTACTTTGAATATAGATAATTTTCAAGAAGAAATTTATTATGTAGACTTATCTCTACAAGGCAGGACAACAGCAACAGGTACTCTTAAACCACTTTCTACAGCGGAACTCAGATTAACTTTTACAAAAGAAAACGTGAGGTGCCAAGAGGATTTCAAAGAATACATGTGTAAAATGAGTGGGGTGGATAGTAATTCGAATTCAATTCCTGAACAAGACGCTGAATCAAATCCAGTAAAGATTTCTTATAGAGGTAAGTAAACGGGCTGACACGAGTTGTGTTAAATGTATGTAAATGAGAGGAGAAATGAACTGACCGCCAAACTGAATTATCATCATCAGTAAATGAGCTGTATCAAAACCTTTTACTGGTAAATGCTTCCATTTTTTTTCACTTTTTCTTAATTATCAAAGTCAATGTAGGTCATTCAGTAATGTGGCAGAATAATAATAACACAGTAAAACAAATTAATGCTGATCAACTGATGCATCTTAACGTTTGCAAGTACTACATAATTTTGTAGATGCTCTTTGTATATTACAGTTCAGCCAAATCGGAATGAGATGCCCGGAGTAAGGATATTCGAACAACAGTTTGACACCAATGAAAGACAGTTTGAAGTAGGAACAGCTTTACAGTTAACTTGTACAGGACAGATAGGCAGTGATCCTAGTGGTGTAAGTTTTTAAAAGTTAAAATGCTCAAATTGTCTATCAATATATATATGCAATATGTAAAAAAAAAATCCCGCTTTAGAAATGTAGCATGTCTATTAGCGAAGATGATTAACATGTATAAGACAACTTCTATGAATTAAATGTATGAAACAAAACCTTTGAATTCTCGTGCTAGAAAAAGTAGAGAAATGTTCGAAAATTAGTTTATGTCAATTTAGATGTGTATATAAAAGGCGAAGTATTTTTTCAAAGATTTCAGCATTACATGAAACAATTTAAACATGTATGAGTCCTTTTTATCTCAAAATTAAATTAAGATTATTTCTTTTGACAACAGTTTCAGATAAGGATGAACAATGATATTTTATGTAAAAAAAAAGGCTGAATCAGACAGAATCAAATTATACACATGTATTAAAGGAAACATTGGGTTTTTTACCGATTCCTTAAGCCATAAATTATTTTTGGTTTTGCTTTAAATTAAATACAGGTTAGGAACGGTGGGTAATAAAATATATGTTTTGCTGATTTAATTTTGATTGTTTGTTTAAAATTTGCCTCCTTTCTTTGTATGATTTCTAGACGATACGTTGGTGCGCCAAGACTGGTAGCGCACAATCCTTCACAGGGTTACCAAAGACACCACTCCACTCCCAGTCCTCACCGTCTGGCTGTCAGTACACTCGTTCTAGTACTATCACCTATAACCTCACTACTAGCGACATCTATACACAGTTTCTGTGTGAGTCTGGATACTCTGGTCTCTGTGGAACAGGAACGGCCGAACAGTCACTTAACACAACCTTAGGTAAGGGACGAGGTCAAAACTGGAATATTCAGATAGTGTCTTAACATTACCTCAGACAGTGTCTTAACATGACCTCAGGTAAGGGATTAAGGGAGAGGTCAAAAGCTCAAAAGGCGTATTCTAACTACAATAGATTTTCTGTCTTTCTATTTTATTTCAATCAGTAAAATCATTTTAAAGGGCGCAAGCCATTAATAAAACTTTGTCACTCAGACACAAGAGTTACATGCCTGCTGCTATTTTTCATTCTTTTTTTCTTTTCTTTTTTTTTTTTTTTTTTTTTTTTGTTAAAAGGAAAATTATAAAAAGAATTTGATTTTATTAAATTTTAGAAATTGTCTCCAAAAGTTTACAATAAAAACCTTAACTTCATTTTGAATTTTAAAACATTATATTAGTCTGTGAAATTAATCTTTCCCAACTTCAATCACATTATGTGTTATTGTTGAACATAAACATGATAAACAATTGTTGAAAACTAAAAAAAAATAATTGATGGATCAATTGATACTATTTTGTTAATCTTCCCATTGATGTTTTGTTTCCCATTTTGAGATTCAAGAAAGACAGGGGAAAAGTAAACAAGTATATCTGTAACTATATATGTAATTAATAAAAACGCATGTACTTAAATTTTGATGTAATATATTTTCTTGCTCAATTACATATCACACGTGATCCCTGACATGTCACTTATGATCATGAACATTGCACAATGATTTTGGACATGTTGCTACGGATAATAAAAATTGCACAATTGATTATTATCAACTTTAACCTTGCCGATAACTTTTGAACATTTGCACCTTCATTTACCAAAAATATCAAACGTAAACCTTGGCCATAACTTTTGAAAAGTTGGAGATAGGATTTTCGTACCTGACATGTGAATTCAATTTAACAAGAAATTTCAGTTGGTGACAATGCCTTCTTTTTTGGTTATAATCAACAATTTTTATCTTTGACCTCGACCTTTGGAGTTTGACATGTATTTGAGAAAATTCAACCCTTGCCATCTGGATCATCAGTGTTTCACTAACACATCCTTGTTAATATAAAAAAATTCTGTTCTTTTCAATATCAGATTTACTAAGACTTTGTAAATCACAGTTTTTATCATATTATAAAAGTATCGGTCACAAACACCATTACTACATTACTTTAAAAAGATATATGCTCATCCTTTGAATCATTTATGTCTTGCTTTTTTTTTTTATTTAATTCTGCCATGAGAAATTGTATCCAATACATTATATCGTTATTTCGTTTAATCTTCAATCCAAAGTATCCATTTACGTATATAATAAATCTGTATTGGTCATTGAACTGGGAAAATATATCTTCGATTGCCGTCATACTATATCTACGATATCCGAAAATTTAAATGATAATGCTGACTTATAAAATTAAGCTTCTAATAACTTTATTTGAAAGTAAAAACTACCTAACTAATGTGCTATAATTTAAACAAAATAAAAACCATAAAAGGAAAAGTGATATTGGGAGATGATTTGAAGCTACAGCACCGACCGACCTATGAATTTATAGATGTATTTCTCTTTATTACACAGGAAGTCCAGGGTTACAGCAGAGT